TTCCTTTATAGTATGATAGCATAATAATCTTTTAAAACCACAGTAAGAGCTAGGCACCTGAGAGATTGGTGCTTTATAAATACTTAAACAGATAGACCGCTATGAAAATCTTTTGTTCTGCTGCATTTTGGTCCATTGTTAATACTGCTCCAACAATGCAGGGAAAAACCTCTAATAATTGGAAAACATTTGTGTTGGGAGGTGAGGCGGTTAGTGTCTTCAGAGAAATATCTTCCAAGGCAAAGAGCATTCTATTATGCACGCAAACTGCAGAAACAACATGCTGGTTTTGCATATGTGTGCATACAGAGGTAGGAAAAACCTGCCAGCCAGCCAGCAAAACACCCGTATTTCATCGCTAATGATAGCGCCGGACAGCTGTAATTCACAACTTTGGAAAAGTAGAGGAAAAACCCAAAGCAGCCCTTACATCTTGCTGAACAAAAAGCCTGCACCATGTGAATGAACCCAAGGTAGTGGGTCGGTAATTGGCTAAGTTATCTCTGCTGTCACTGTTTTGTCCGCCGACAGCGAGGTGCTGATAAGCCCCGGAGGTTTCTGAGCTCCCCAGGAGGATGCATTGGAGCAGCCCCTTCTCCTGCCTCAGTTTCCCAGTGGAAAATGAGGACAGCAACAACCTCCTGTCTCCCACATCAGGATGTTGAGAGGAAAGGGTGTTACTGTCAATGGACACTGCTTCTGTTTGTCATTAGTTTTGAAAATAATTTTATTTTCTTTCCCTCACCAGAAACATGAAATGAAAGAAAAAGGTTGGGAGAAAACCACGCTTGCACCATATTTATAAAAATTGCATGTCACACAGCCATGCTGTATCCATGTACTGGAAAAGACTGGAGAAGTTGGGAGAAATGTGGTTTTTAAGCAGCATTATGTTGCAAAATGGTGATGGCATTGCTGCTTTCATCTGGTGGCAGCAGGGCAGGGAGCTGCTCTGCTCTGTCAGTCCTCACTGGTAACTCAGTGGGGCTGGAATTTTCTAAGGTGATATGAAACAGGGCTTAATAAATGGATAGATAGGATCCTGAATAAATAAATAAATAAAATTATATTTAAAAAAAAAAAAAAAAGAAGAAAAGTGTTTTTTATTAAAAAGAAAAAGGGCTTAACTAACCAAAAGGTACAAAATTAGCTCTTAAGGAAGCCAAAACTGAAATAAACACTCTTCCTTTGTGTCAACCTATAGAGCAGGTGTTGCAGCCGTGTGATTTAGGAGCTGGAGCACACGCTGACATGGCAGTCCTGGCAAAGCCTGGCCAGGCTCGGTGTCTGGGAGGAGCGGCACGAAGCGGGTGGAGTGCTGCACATCCCATGCTCACTGCTCCAGCAGGGACGAGCCACACGTGCAGACCACCGGCACACGGCGTGCTCTGATGGGGACATGCATGCAGAGCGTGCAGGGGTTTGCTTTGCACACTGAGCTGGACACGGTTTGGGGAGACTTTGCAGACAGCCCAAATGACCCACTTAGGTCTCTCCCAGTCATTAACAAAGGACAAAGCCAAGAAAAGATTTGCTTTTATTAAAAAAAAAAAAAAAAAAAAAAAAAAAAAAAAAAAAAGGATAACTCATCCCTTCACTGTCATTTGAAAGTATGCAAACATCAATTTGTGGCATTGTTATGTGACCCACCATCCCAGTGTTTGTACAAATACCATTGGGTTTTTTGTTCTCTGATAGGGATGTGTCAGTTTGTCAAAATCTTAATATTTAGTACAAATTTAACTGTGCTGAGACAACTTCCATTGGCAAAGGCTAATGGAATTGCACATCAGGCTGCACATTGCATCCGCTGATGGAATTTTGGGTCAAAATAAGAAAAAGAGACAAAGAGAGAAGGCACATCCCCAGCAGCCTCACCAGCTGGGAACAGGACAGAGCCACATTCAAGCTTTTGTGCCAATAAAATTTAATTTTTCATGGTGACCTGAAGAAGACCAGCCCCTGGTCTTTTCCTGCAGCCCCTTCCCGAGCTGTGTGTGCTGGGTGCTGGGGATGCAGACATGGCTCGGACAGCAAGGCTTTGTCCCTGCAAAATTCAGGTTGTGGACACCTCAGTAACCCGACTTTTATCACAGTGCTCTGCCCAGTCCTTTGGGTCGAGATAAAATTTTGGCCCACAGAAAAACAGAAATCAATACCAAAAAAATGACCCAATTGGGTCAATAATCTGCATTTTTACTTTTTTATTATTAGAAATATTTATATTACAGTAGCTTGGTATTTTAGAAGGCTATAAATGCATTTTTATATAATCAGCATTTTAAAAAGTCTATAAACATTCACTATGTTTGCCTAATGTACTATAAAAGCTTCCAAAGGAGCTGTTATTATCCAACTTGTCACCTCACACATGCTCCGAGGAGGATTTTTTTTTTTCTTGTCTGCTGTTAATAAAATGAAGCAAACCATTAACAGCTTTGGAGCTGCAAGGAGAAGTAAAGGGGCTTGTAATCTTGGACTCCAAAGGAAACGTCTGCAGCTTTGCTCCTTGCCTCTTTGAGATTCCCCACACGCAACAACAATTTCAAAGAGACAAAATCAGTTTAGGTTACATAAATTCAAAAGCCCAAGCCTGCTTCTTTTAAAGTAACATCTTGCATTTTGTTTGGAGTGTTGCAATCACATAACATTTTGAAGTGCTTCAGTTTTACATTCCTCCATGCATCTTCCTCTGCTTTCCTTGGTTAAAGAAGCTTTAATGCAGAATTACTGCAAACATTCATGCATTCATTACTGCACACACACACATATGTGCATGTATGGATGTCTGCATGCAAATATATGTATATATTAAAAGTCCAGCATCGTGTGTTGTGGTGGTTGTGCACTCAGGACCCATCTCTCCTGGCACCCTCTGCATGCCAAACTCCCATCTGTACTGGTGCATGGAGCAATCCACAGCCCAAGTCCTAATAAAAAGATGCCATGCATTTTGGAGAGAAACACGGATATTTTTGTCTCTGCAAGCTTGGGGTGAGTGTGGTGTAAATCAATTAGTGCAGGGAAGAAATCTGTGTGCAAAAAGCAGAGTGGGCATGAGCTTGGGGTTTTCAACCATCCCTTAATTCACATCTAGGAGATGGGTTTTCGGTTCATCGCCATTTATAGTTTGCTCTCGTTCCCAACATATCTCGGTGTCGGGATAGATTCTCAACCCGGGGAACCTGTCAGGGACGTGATAACAACTCACTCAACCCAAAGCAGGGCACGATTGTGCCTGCGATAGCGAGCGGTGCTTAACAGCTCCCCTGCTGCGGGCGCGGGGTCCCGGCCGGCACAGGAGGGCACCGGCAGCCCCCCTTGGGGATTTGCTGCTTCTGGATGGGGCTGAAAATAGCCTGAGAACCTCTCACTTTTGACACTCAAAAGCCCAGGATGCTCCAAAGGGAGCAGCAGGTGACGAGCATCCCCAGTTTCTTGGGTAAAGTTTTTTTCTGGATGAATTCAGGGTGGAGAAAGGCTTTCACGGCTTCAGTTTTTGGAGGGGCATGGGTTGGGAAAACACAGAAAGTCCTGGCTTTTTGGACATCCATGTGATGCCGGAAAAGAGGAGAAAAATGGAGGAAAAAACAATGGAGGCAGTTTGTGCTGCTGCAGGAAATTCCTGGCTGTTTTGCAGGGAAATGGGCCAAACATGCTGCATGGTGTGGCCATCGCAGAGGTGGCTCTGGCATCTCAGGGACACCAGAGTTCCTGTGATCTGTGGTTTTGCTGCCATACACCCATCCTGGGTGTCCAGGTGGTGATGGCATGGAGCTGCCTCTGCTCAGAACTGCTGGGGATGGGGGAAATCCTAGGCTCCTGGTTCAAAGTTTGGGTTCAGAAGAGCTGTCGGCTGAGACAAAGAGGCAAAACCACCCGGGATGGAGAGCAGGGGTATCAACCAGCTGGCATCATCCTCAGAGCTGGGGAGCTCTGACATAGCATCATGAAAAAGTGCCCCGCATAAGGGGCATGTCCTGGGATGTTAGGATGTCCTGGGACATCCTAAAAGCCTTTCACAGCTCTTGGCATTATGGGGTGGTTCCTGCTCTGGGGGGGACCCTGCTGCAAGCAAGCAGGACAGGTTGGCTGAGCGTGGCCACCACCACGTGTGTTAGCACTTATCTGTTCCCCAAGGTGACCTCCCCAGGGCACTGCTCTCCTGGACATCTGCATTTCCAAGCTTATCTAATACGAGTTCTTCACCTGCTTCTAAGAGTGTGAGCCAGGGACAGCACCTAGATTGCCCGAAATTGCCCCTTGTCGGGGCATCATTGGGACAGCTTTGGAGGCTGGAAGGCTCCCGTGGCCTCAAAGCCCAGGAGATATCTCCATGTCGGTGATCCCTATAAACCTGCCGTGGCAGGAGGGGTTTTCCTGGCCTGTGGTGGAGCTCCCCAGTGCCTCCCATCGAGGGCAGGAGGTTGGCACCTCCCTGGACCTTTGGATACATTGGGAGATATGGCTGGGCAATAGGGTGAAGGACTCGGCCAAATCTGGGTGCTTCCCTCGTTCCACTGCAAATCAGGATCCCTTGACCTTCTTTCCCACCTTCTCTTCTGGCTACCTTTCCACCAAGGAAGAAAAAATACAAATGAAAGAAGCCAAAGGAGAAGCAAAGAGTAAATACGGGTGGGAGACAAAGGTCTTCCTGCACAGACAAGGTCTCTGCTCCGAGCCTCCCAGCGCCGCCACTTACCAAAAATAGCCAGGGCCCCGCGAAACCTCGGCCCGGCACGGAGCAGTAAGACGAGCTCCCTTCCCTCTTGATTTGGCCGGCCTAAAAATAGCAGAGGGTAAAAAAAGGCAGAGTCAGGACCCCGCAGGCCCAGTAGTCAATGGGCTGAGGGGCGCGCCTGAACTCCAAATCCCGCTCGGCGGCCTCCAGCTGGGAGGCTATTTTTTGCCGTGGGTGACTAAATATGGGCAGGGAGGGAAGAGCACGAGAAGGGGCCGCTCGCCCGGCCGTGCGTGTTTCGGATGCTTCGCTGGGTATATAAGCACTGCAAAGGTGGACTCGCTTCCTCACCAGCTCTGCCCCCCTCCACAGCCCCCCGGGTGCGTGTGTGCGCACCCCTCCCGACAGCCTGACCCCCGAGTCCGTGGCTGACCCCTTTGGGGGGGCCAGGAGGGGACATGGAGGGCAGGGAGAGACACACGACGACTTGTGCAGGCGCAGCCCCTTTTTCTTTCGCATCCAGGTGTGCTGCAATCCGGGCGGGCAAGGTGGCTTCTCCTTAACTCCCTCCTCGCCCGCCGCCGCTGCCGCCAGCACTCCCCGGAGCCTCGCTCCCCTCCCTTCGCTCAGCCTCCTCTGCTCAGCCTCCCCTGCTCAGCCTCCCCTGCTCAGCCTCCCCTGCTCAGCCTCCACCGCTCAGCCTCCGCCGCTCAGCCTCCGCTGCCTCCCGCCGTCCTCCCCCACCCGCCGAGCCGCGCTGCAGCAGCGGGGACGGAGTTGGTGTAGTGGTGCTGAGCGAAGGGGGTGAGGTAAGGGTGGATGTTGGGGGGGGGGGGGGAGGAGGGAAGGTTTTGCCTGGTGATTTTTTTTTTAAATTTCTTCTTTTTTTTTTTTTTTTTTTTTTTTTTTTTTTTGCCTCCAAGTGAGGACTAATACCATCACTGGGCCTGCTCTCTTTTTTCCCTTCCTGCATTAGAGATTGGCTATAAGGAGAAGGCTGACGGCTGCAGCATGAAGCGCATTATTACCTTGTGATTCCATGACCCTCCTCTATGCATCCCTAACTCTCAAAAGCTGATTCAGCTTTCAGCTAGTGCTCTGGTGAGTCCTCTGCTGCAACAGAAGCTCCTAACTGGTATGTCTTTTTTTTTTTTTTTTTTTCCTTCCCCTCTTCTGCTCCCTGTCTTTCCCTTTAACCACACCAGCTCAGCTCTTTTTTAAACACTTTTCTGGCCGATGCAGGACTGAGTGCCCATCCAACTTACCCAGGGACTTAAATGTCTGCTTTTGCATCCGGCAGATGTGTGTGTGTGTGCCGCGTGTGTGTGTCTGTGCGGGGATGTGCCGGCTGTGTTTAATCGGTGGATGGGTTAGCAGACCTTCTCCCCCCCCTTCTTTTTTTTTCGTGTTGTTCTGCTGTGGCATACTCCGCATTTAAAAAAAAAAAAAAAAAAAAAAAGCAACAAACTGCAGAGCAAGCAGTGCACTAGAATAATCTGAACTGAAATGTTAGAACTTTGGCATGCAACCGTTCTGCAAGGTTAAACCGGCCTTTAAATGCCTAATTCAGATCCAGGCTGGCTAATGACACCTAGGGGGATTGGGGCTTTATTTATTTATTTGCACCAAACTAGCGGCTATGAGCTAATACCAGCCAGAGCAAAAGGGTGAAATGTGGTTAAACTTAGCCTAACTTGCGATGATCTCAATGCCGCGGTGATTAACTGTTCAAATGCCGAGGAAAGAGCATTAATTGCAGGCGCATGGCTTGGGGATGGTCGGAAAGGAAATGTAAGGAGAAGTTAGGTTTTCCTGCCAGGGGTTTGAAATTCAGGTTACACTTCATCCAGCAATCGGCTGTTATTGCTCCTGCAGCTAAGAGTTGGCTGTGGTCATTATATTTTATATGAGAGCGGTGATACCTAGTCGCATAAATATATGTGCATCAGTGTTGGGTGAGGGATGCTGTGCTCTATACCCGCGTGCACACAAATTCAGATATGCTTTAAAGCATGCGTATGTGTATTTTACAGAGCTTTATCCAGAGATACCTAAATGCTGTCTCTAAGCAGGTGTAGCATTCGATCCCAATGCAATGCACCTCCTGTCTGTGGTTAGAGTAGTGCTATGTGCATATGTCTGTGCCGGGGAGTGTACACTCAGCTGTCGTGTGCAATGGTGTAGGCAGAAACCTGCGAGCTGGGCTGGCTGTGGATTTAACTGCCCATTTCTCTGGAGCAGGAGGTTGTGCCTGCCTCCCCGAAGGGCTGAGGCCAGCCCAGCCCCTGCCCTGTGTCTCTGCCTTGGCCCCGCTGGCCTCTCCCTGCCCTGTGCCCAGCCCCAAATCCAGGCTGCCTTCAAGTCCTGAAGTTTTGTGCTGCACAGCCGCAGCCCGACTGTGCCACTGGGACCTGAGGGGCACCCCGAGGCTGGGGCAGAGGAAGGAGCTGGTGTGTGGCCCCTGCTTTCCATCCCTCCCACCACCCTGCTTCCCCTCCACCCAGCACCTCAGGCTCTTCCCTTCCCTTCACTTTTATTCACTCCTTGGCCTCTGCACTGTCCACATTTCCTTGCTTTTTTTTTTTTCTTTTTTTTTCTTTTTTTTTTTTTTTCCACCACAACCACAATTTCATTGTGCTTCTTTTTTTCTGCTCCGAGCAAGCACCAGAGCTCAGCACACCGAGGTGGGCTGAGGACGTTGGGTGCTGCTCGCCCACCACCGCTTCCTCCTGCTGTTAGTGCAGGACGTGGACCACAAAGTGCCCCCGGCCTCACTATTAAAAGCATCGTCACACTGCTTGTGTGCTCCTCCACCCAAAGGGACAACCCTTGGGCAAATCATGACCAAATTTAAACCCAAATCTGCTCCTGAGCAAGCAGGAAGATGAGCGTTGCAGTCGTGGTTGTGCCATGGCCTCCAGCCTTAGTGGGGATCCAACAGGCCACGACGCAGCTCTCACCCCAAGTGAGAAGGGAGCAGGGCAGCTGCTGTCCCACACATCTGTGGAAGTTTGGGGCTCCTCAGGACTGCGTGTGTTTGGGCGGATTTGAGGAAGGCAGATTGGGGATGAGTTGTAAATTTTTAATGGCCCAACGTGTCAAGCGGCTGCCCCACTCCATGCACCTGGCCTGCTCTTGTCTGTCTGAGGGCAACTCAACCCTCAGAGTGTCTTGGCCATGCAAAACCCACCTGCACTTGGGTTTTTGTGCTCTTTTTTTTTTTTTTCTTTTTTTCCTATTTTTTTTTTTTTTTGATTCTTAAGTGCCCAGAGTTTCCCTCACACTCCTCAGTTCTCCCTTCACTTTAATTTCTCTGCAGTCATGCATTACCATGGTGCCACAGCTCCATCTCTCTTTCCCTTGCTCCAAACTAAAGGTGGAAATTTGCCTCAGAATTAGACAAATACCGATGCTCCAAAGGGCCAGCAGCACTGGCAGGACTGAGAAAGGGCACTGCCCAGAGCCAGGATCAGGCACTTGCCCGAGCTGGTGCGTGGTGCACAGCACTGGGGGGCTCACACCCCAGCACTGCGGGGCCATGGAAGTGGATGGGAGCAGGGAAATATTTACTCCCCGTCTCACAGCGATATTTTACAGAGAAGTGGCACAGCATCGATGCAATTAGGTATTCCAAAGTGCTTACTTTGCCGCTCGCTAAGTTTACTTAAACCCTCTTTAAAGGCTTCATTAGGAGCCTGGGATGAACGGCCAAATTCATTAGCGCCGAGGCGGGCGTTGTGCATTTGCCTGCAAATTGCTATCGAGCGGCAGCGGCGGGGCGAGGGGCGCAGGTGAGCGCCCACCAACCGTGCCGTGCGGTGCCGTGCGGTGCTGAGCGAGCAGCCAGCGCCCGCCGTGACCTCCGCCGCCGAAATCCTGCCCGCAGCGGCCGCCTATTCAGCTCGGCCCACGGTCGCAGCCACATTGTTCGGGAGCTTTAAAGCTCAGCGTGGCGGCTGGCCGAGGGCAGAGCGAGCGGGAGCCTCAGCGGGGCCGCGCGCGGGGACGAGCCCCCCGAGGGACACGGGCACACGCGGACGTCCATCCCGCGGGGACAACTCGGAAAGTCCTCGGCCTAAGCTGCCGGCACCTGGCTTCAGCTGCTTTTTAGTTTGCATCTCTGCAGGTGTCTTCCCACCCCCCCCCGAATCCTCAGCTGGCTGGATGACTTGTGAAAAGCGATTTTTTTTTTATTTTTTTTTTAATTTTTGCTTTTTAAATACCCTCAACTCTCCCAAAGGCATTTTGGGGGTGGCTTATCTGCAAGGTAGTGTCTCGCTCGTGGTGACCAGCAGAGGAAAAATCATTGGATTCACTAGGTAAGACGCTTTCTTCTTCCTATGCTTTAATCTCTACTTACTGATGGAAGCAATTGCTTGTCTGTAGCAGATGAGTTTTCTTGCTCTGGCAGATAGAGCAGGTCCTTCCTGGTGGTGCTTTGTACATCAGCAGCCAGACATTGGATTCGGGCTTTCTCAAAGCAAATTGGCTTTTTGTTTCTAAATTGCAGGGTGGAGGCAATGGGGAAATAATATTTATTTAACTTCCCCCAGCATGTCTTTGTCTAAAATGATACACATGTATACATATGTATACACACAAAGGAAATTCCTTCTGCTGAAGCACATTTTTGCTTTTTTTTAATTGCTGAAAGTTTGCGGTTCCAGCTGGAACACCCTCTCTGAAGGTGGGCTGGGAGCTGGGTCCCCCCTCTGTGCCATTTCCGTGACAAAGAGCCCCAAAGAGCAGGGCAGCTGGCCACGCTGCCGGCACTTTCTGCCCGGTGCACAGCCCCCAGCCCCAAAAACCAGAAACCTGCGAGGGCAAAGCTGAGATCACCAGCAAATAGCGTGAGCAGGGGAGCAAGGGGGTGTGTGTGTGCATGTGTGTGTGTGTTCAAACTGTGCCATAACTCACTCCCGGGATGTAAATTGTCCATCAGCGCTATTTTCTCCCATGAACATATAAATGCGCATATTGAAACTACCTGCTTGAGAGACATACTTCTTTATATGCCCATATGAACCTGGCAATCTATGGAATGTAAAGAAGTATGTATTTCAGGTGGGGACCCTTCTCGGAGGAGCGGTGTGTGACCCCGTGTGAAGGGGGGGGAGAAAGACAGACAGATTTTTTTTTAATTTATTTATTTTTTTAAATGCCTGACATGGCAGACTGGCTGGGGAGTCAATTGATGATCTTGTTCCAGTGCGTGTATTGTTCTGTCACTTTGCCTGTGTCAGCAGGTGGAAATGCTCATCAGGACATTAAATATTCAATATGCTGACTGCGGCATGGGCTTTGAAAGGCAATGCCAGAGGAAGGCTGGCCGTCCACTCCTGGTTTTCAACAGGGATGCAGGCAGGTCCCTCCTTTTTGCTGCTCCCCCCCAGCCCTTTTTTCCCCCCAGCTAAGGCTAGGTAACAACCCGAGCTGCCTGATCGTTAAATCTAGGGGAAATAAAAGGAGGTGGAGTGGGGGAGAAGAAGAAAGAGAAAAAAGATACAAGAGTTGTGACTTAGATGTGCAGTATTTTGGCTTCACGTGTTTGAATCTTTCCTGTGTTAAAACTTTTTGTGCTTAAAACTGGAGAGAAGGAAATCTGTGTCTGTGTGCCAGCAACACACTGCTTGGAAACAGCCCTTGAGTGACTAGGTCACAACTAGAGGCACGGGAGCGCTTTGAACAGATGCCTGTTATTTTCCTAGAGGAAAATAATAAAATTAGCTCCTCGGATTTGGGAAGCTTTTACCGCATTTTGGTTTTGCTTTTTAACCTTTTGCACCGTGAAATATCTGGTTACATTTCCAGGATCCCGCAAGAATGAGGCAAGGTGGTAAAAATGGGTTTGATACTCTGGGTGAACAAGTTTAAATTTCTGTCTGGGTAAGAGGCAAGTAAAGCTTTGAGCCCCAATCTTCCCCTTTCAGACAAATTCTTGTCACTTTGGCACCAAACTTCCAAGTCCCACCTGCTCCTGAGCTACCCAAACTTATCTCCACAACCCCACTGTGCAGACAAGGGCACTGTAATGTTCTGCTTTTGAGTGAATTCCCTGCAGTTTCAGCACATCTCTCTTGGCAAAAGTGCTCCTCGGGCCCTTACCAAGCCTTGATCCGCCGCTATTCATGGCGAGCGCCGCTGTCACTTGTTACACGTGTGCCAAAGGGGATTTCACTGGAAGCAGGCGCTCATGAATAGCAGGTTAGAAAAGGCAGGCTGGGCTCTCATGGAGATTTCCTCTGTACATTATTCAGTGGGATTTAATAATAGTGGTTTTCTGTTTTTTTAAATACAAACACCACAGTTGATGGATGCGCGCGGAGTGCTCAGCCCCTTCCCGGGAGCAGAGGATCCGTTCTTTGCTTTGCCAGCGGGCTTTGGGAAGGGACAGTTTGGACATCATCCTCTGGGCCCTGGGGACAGTCCCTTATGTCCCTGGGTCACCTGAGGATGGGTCCTAGCCACTGTGGACATCCTGCCCTATTTTGAGGCCAGATTTCAGTAAGAAGGGTGTGGATGCTGGGAAATGAGCAGAGGCCGGGCACAGAGCGCTGATGCCCAAGCCTCGCTGCAGTTTCGCTCCCTTGTAAAACATCACTGGTAGCTTGAGTCACTGGGTGGGAAATTAGGATGGTTCTCACCAGTCTGGCCATGATACAAAATTCCCTCCTTTCTCTGATGACCCTCTACCCCACCTCTTCCCCCTTTCCTTTTTCTCCCTTCTTTCTTTTCCTTCCTTTTTTCCTTTCCATCCTTTTTTCCGTCTTTTGCTTACTTGTTTTCCCTGTTCTCTTTATTGCTTGCTTGCTTGCTTTCTGCCTTATTCTTTTTTCTTTTATTTCCTTCTTTCCTTGTTCTTTCTCCCATCCCCTTGTTCTCTAGTCTTGCTTTTCTTCCCTTTCTCCCCCAGTGCAGGTGTCACTAAGCCTCCTCCACCACTGTGCATTTCTGTAGTGAAGGTGCTCACGGTCTGATTTACAGCAGATACCTGCATTCCTAATGCAATTTTTATCTCCTTCCCACCTCTGAATTAATATGCTTGTTAATCACACGGAATTGCTAACTTTAGGAAGTCGCTAAGTGCTCAGATTTATTTTTTATGTAAATATTTTCCAAGCCGTAATTCCGAGTGCTGTCTCACAGCGCGGGAGCACGTGATGGAGGTTTGGGGGTGCAGGGTGCATCCTGAGGCCTTGTCCTCTCCCGGGTGATGTCAAAAAGTAAATGGGAATGTAAAATTAAATGGGAATGCCACGGCAGCCCATTTGCCAATAGGATCGGTGGAAGAAAATGAGGGCTTTGGCCCTTCAGCAAACACTTTGCGCTGTTTCTGCGTTTAGTGGCAGCTCCTTCTCTCTTTTTTTCCCTCTTTGGATTAAAAATGGGACTGCTCCTCTGCACTAGGTTCTCTCTGTTTCTCAGCTATGATTAAGCCTCTTCTCCTCCGTGCTTCATACAAGGGGGCTGCGGTGGCGAGGCGAGGCGGGATGCTCAGCTGTGCCCAACCGCCCTGCACAGCGCGCGCTGAGCAGTGCCGCCCGTGGGAGCAGGAGCGCTGAGGATTGTAAAAGCCATAAATCCAGTGGACCAAATTAGTTAAATTTTTCTATTCTATGCCTCACAAAACCCAGCCGTTCCCGAGATGGATTTTCCTCATGTAAGCGGAACTAGCGGCAGGTAGAAAATGGGCATTTTGCACACGCACAAGGGAGTGTGGGGATGAATTCGTGCCGTGCGGTTTTCCCCAGCATTTTTTTTATTTTTTATTTTTTAGTTTTGTGCGTTTCTTTATGTTGATGATCTATTATTACTCTTGTTACTATTACTTAGTATTGGAAGACAGGTGGTCCAATAAATTCCAGCACCCTCTTTTGAAATAAAAAAAAAGGGGGGGTATGTTTGCAATTCAAGTTTAATAGTGCATTCATCAAGAGCAATAAAGCATTTTATTGCACGAGTATTTCAAGGGATGTGCTGGCCCTGGTAAAAGCATTAGTAAAGGGGTGCATCAGCAATCTCATTTAAAACTGTCGACCCAACGTGAAAAATGTTGCGTTGAAGAATAAACTGCTATTAAGCATGATTAGATTGACCTGCAGGACAGATATTTTAGCTGCTGCAGCACAAGTCGATCAAAGTGAGCATCGCTTAGATTGCAAAAAAAAAAAAAAATTTAATGCCCTAAATTAAAAATGAAAGAACCTCGGAATATTTAGGACCAGAGAGTGACTTTGGGGGTGAGATTTGTGTGTTTGATTCGAAGCGGTTCGGAAAGGTGGGGAAAGGGGAGAACCGTATTAATTGCTGCCCCTTTAGCATACATTGAAAGTATGTTACTCGGATCAACCAATCAAAAAAGAAATTGTGCTGACTCAGCACTCGGGCTAGTCTGCACGTCCGATTGCAGAAGAGATCAGCACTGCACTGCAGTATCTTTCCCTGCCTTTGACACCAGCCTAGCTGGGCAGGGCTTCCCTTGTGCTTCCCAGGACTGGGTTAGGCCAAGAAGAAGAGCGGGCCCTGAAGAGAGGAGGAGAGAGTCAAGGTTGCACGAGCCTTGAGCTGCTACGAGGCTTTTTAGTCAGTAAGCGAGATCTTCCATGCTGGGTTTGCCCTGCCAGATGCAAGCGGCATGCATTGCTTGGGAATATATCTATTTTTAAAGAGTTTCACCACATCTTGCACTTAGCAGTGGCTGTGGGCGAGGGGGTGGTGTGTTCCTCGCAGGAGAAATATCCTCGCTCCAGAGCTGGCATCCCTCCCCTGAAAGCCCGGGGCTGATTTCAGCACAGCGCTCGCAATTCCCTCCCAGCGAAGACGCTGGGTTTAGTGCTTGCTGCTGAAGTTGCTCTTGACCTAAGGTGCCTGTGCAGCGCTGCCGCAAGGTGCTTCCCCGCCGGGATGCAGGGGTCACAGCAGGAGCAGCCTCATGCTCGTGGGGCTTGCCTGCAGCCCTGCAGCTCCCCTGCCTCCCTTTCCCCCAGGAGAAGCGTGGCTGCTCGCTGGAGAGGTGTTGAAGCCGTTGCTCGCACCACGGGGGTAAGGCTGGAGAAGGCCGCGTCAGGCTGATGCAGCTGCCCAAGGACGAGCTTGTTCTGGGTGTGTAATGGCCAAAATGCAAAGTCCTGTCCAGCCTCCAAGTCACCCTCCTCTGCCTGCCGCCCTGTGATGCTCCCAAAGCATTTTTTTTCCCGTGCTGTTTAACCAGCGTCAGCATGCGTCCCTGCTCCTAGCTTGTATTTCTTGCACAAAGGTCCGTGCCGAGGAACAGAGGCCAAGTGCGGGTAGCTGTGTGCACAGGTGGAAGGCTGGCGGAGGGCAGACACGTTCTGAACAAGGGGGAACTTAATAGCTGAAGGTTTAGCAGTTGGAGCAGTTGCTGGTGGTGCTCAGGAGGCCAGCTGGGTGCTGGGTTCAGGGGAAGCAGGGTGAGTGACAACTTGAACAGATGCAGGCTTTTTCCTCTTTTTTTTTTTTTCCTTTTTTTTTTTTCCCCCTTTCTTCTTTTCATGAAGCACAGCGCCCTGCCTGTAAATGCCTCGCCATGCCCAGATATGGCCTGCTCGGGGACGGGCACCTCTAGCTAAAAAAGCCACGGGCAGAGCGACCAGCCCGGGGACGGGGAGCAGCTGGTATAAATAAATAGTGCTCATTCTCAGCTGCCCTCCTGCCGGCCGGATTAGGTGGCATCTGGGCAGCCAGGAGGCGCAGGGCTCGTGACCGCCGACCGCAGAAGTCCCCAAGCAGCTGTAAGGGCAGGAACCACTCCTGCAAAGCCCTTACATAGGCACGTCGCCCCTGGCATTTGGGGAGTCGGATAAAGCTCCCGCAGCAGGAATCTGGTGACCTAAGAGCGGTCGAGAATAAAGTTCACCGCAGCAGCCGGGGCAGAGCTTCCAATCTGGGAAGCGACCCGAGGTTGGAGGCAGGATCTGGCCTTCTGCTTTTTAACCTGTTGCACGCACGCGAAGCCTGCGGGGACGGCGGAGCTGGAGGCGAGATGTTGAGCAGAGCTTCCAGTTCCTCTCTCGGACGCAGCGGGTTAATTTGCTGTCAGAGAGATTATTGGAATCTGATTTAATACTTGTGTTTACTTCGGGTCAACAAATTAAAAAAAAAAAAAAAAAAAAGAAAAACAAGTCTTAATAATTTAAGGCACCGGCTTGATGGGAGCTAATAGGAAATAATGAATCTCCTGCAGTGGTTTCCCTCCCAGGCTTGCAGGGAGCATGCAGCTGGTGCACATCCTGCTCACCTGGCCGCAGCAGAGCCGTGCCTGGGTGCGAGGTCGGCCACACGTGTAGCCAGAGGCTGCAGGAGGCAGCCAGAAAGGATGGCCTTTTGCTCGAAGGAAGCTCATTGCCTGGCTTATTTGAAGTGAAAAGCTGAAGCAGGGAATGGGGATGGATTGGTAGAGTGGGGGATATTCCTGTGCAGGTGGCAGCCGGAGGGGATGTTGTGAAATATGTGTAGTGGGGGATTTGGGTTCTAAAGCTGGGGGTGACTCTGCAAAGTGGGGTCCCGGATGGGCAGGGGGATGGAGGCACGGGCAGCCCATGGAGCAGGCAGGGTGAGAGGGGGGAGCACGGTGCTGAGCATGGTGCTGTCTGCTTCCATCGCCGGCACTTGGCACATGAGCAAAGTCTGTGGCAGCGTACCTCGGGGTCTGTCCCAAAGTGACTGTGGTATGGGCAGGGGATGTCTCGAGCCTTTGGGAGAGGTGTGGCAGACGTGGATAAAGAAATGGCATTTCTTTATCGGCGAAAGGCTTCACCATTAATTTAATACAGGGGCTTTGTCCCCCCCTTCCTCGCTGTGTCAGGGCCGTGATGCACTGTGCGCTGCACCAGCTTGCGTTCTTTAAATTAAGCTAGCTTTGTCCTAAAGCCTTGTCTCGGAGATAATAAGGCATACACACATACGCACCCGCTAAAATCCATTGTGCCATTTTTGCAAGGAACAGCAAAAGTTGCCCGTGTGCCTTCCCCTCTCTGTCCTCCACACTCATTTGGCCTATTTGAAGCTGAATTTATTCCTGGGAAGGTCCCCATCAATTTGCTTTGCTCTTTTGTTGACAAGTTTATTAAAAACCCGGGCAACTACATATTAAACTTTTATCAGTGTCGAGGAAGAATATGTCCTTTGAGCGGCCACAAAAGTTATGGATTGGGTCTGAACATTTCTTGTTCCACCGGCCGGCTGAGTCAGCGTAACAAATAAAAGCTGCCACCTCTTTTTTTTTTACTCTTTCTTGAGAGACAGTTCTCTTACCGGTGTAAGTAACGGTAGCAATAATGCAGGAAGGTTTCAGACCTGGGTAAACGAGCTTTTTTTTCTTTGCTCCCATCAGTCCTTGTTGCTGATTTGAATTATTAACCTAAAACCAGAATAAAATAAGAGCCCGGGGGATGGTTATTGCTTCTTAGCTCAGAGCCAACAGTTTGTGTAAAATAACTGATACTTTGCAGATGTTTATAGGAAAAAATAGCCCTGGAAATTAATAACATTTGTTGTACCAGGAGCGATGTGAGTGGCTTTACGCTTCCGTACTCCGCAAGGGCATGAGGGATTTGGAGCGCTGGCCCACGGCGATGCTCGGCTGGGGATGTGCCTTTGCATGGGGAGCGGGATTGTCGCTCTTTTTCTTTAGGCATAAGATTAAACCAGGAGAAGGCCACCGTGTTGCAGGAAAGATGTTAAAAATAAAGCATTAGCATCGCATAACCTAGTTCCTGTTTTGCCTCGCGACTGAGTTTTTACAAGTTGAAAGAAGCCTGCAAAATAATTGGTGAGAAGTGTTTTGAGCTGCCAGAGCAGCAGACAGGCAGGAGAAAAGTGAACTGAGCTACAGTTCTTAACCTCCGTCGGATAAATAAATAAATATCTGTCCCCAAACAACATATTTCTTGGCCTGTCACCGTGTCCAAGGATTTTTTAGTTCTTAAACAGGTTTGCTGGCATAATTTGTCAAGTACAACAGGGAGGTTTCTGTGTGACAGAGGATCATTTTTCACCACGTACGCTGGGGCACCGAAGCAGTCCTGCAGGCTCTGAGCAGCTCCATAATTAGATAACAGTTAACATACGTGTATTAGAGGGATCATCATTCATGCTATAGGATACAGCGGGGCCCGCCACCGCCGATACCGCGCCATGCCGAAAGCAAGCAGGGAGCGGTCTGGACAAATACGTCTTACTCCAGGAGTTTATCTGCATCACCATTTGCTCCAATTATAACTAATTGGACACATATTGCATTTTCATAGCATCTAATTTTCTATTGATTTTAACGGGACTGCTGGTATTTTGTACTATTAAGTGGTATCTCGTAGCCGTTGCTGTTTAAAAATGCTGAGTGCACTCCCCTGTATGGAATTATGCAGTCAGCAGATGTTTTAAAACCTGTTTAATTGTTCGGTCCATAAAATGCACAAACTGTATTAGGGAACGGCTTTGTTCTCTTTGAGTGTGTGAGTTTGGAAATCCAAAGTGAAAACTATTTCTGGCCATGGTTTCAGGAGGGGCAGCTCCCAGCAGGATGCTCAGAGCCCTGCTCGGAGCCACGCAGCCTCCGAGGGCTCCTCAGCCCTGGCTTGGGCTTTGCAGCTCTCTCCAGGCATGGGTGCTCTGCATTTCTTGGTCTGTGTAAAAATAAGGACCTTTATCTACAAGGCCAAAAATCTGTATTAAGACAGAGTTGTTCGCATTGAGAGCCAAGGATTTGATAAGGTCACTTTTGGTCTCCTGTACGACTGAGGACTGAGCTGGTAATTGGTAGGGTTTGGGGCTTTATTCTCTGCCAGAGATATTGCTGTCTGCCTTGGCAATACATCCAAATAAAACCGGACTATCAAATTAGCCATTGCATTTCAGCAAATACTCAGTGAAGCAGGATGAAAGCAATAGTCCTCTGTTCAGCATCATTTAAAGAAGAAAAGATTTAAACGAGATATTCAGTGGAGGAATGGAGAGGCGGCCTGGAAAAAGCTTTTCCAGCAGTGCACATTTGATCGTTACAAGCACGGAGGAGACTTGAACACTTTGGATATTGGTATTAAAGGTAGATAGGGAAGGTAAAAGGTGATGGGATTTGTGTTTCGGGGCAGCTGATTTGCCCGGGGTGTCTGGGGGCTGCCGTCAGCCTGCTGCCTTCGCCAGCCATTAGCAGGAACCGCATCGTGTCTGTGGGAGACAGGTGAGTTCACAGAGGTGTATAAACTAAATAGACACTTTATTAAGTTCAGGTAATAGTTTTGAAAGACTGAGTGGCTACTGCACTGTCAGCAACTACTTTAGTGCCCAAAGGAACTGAGTGCTTTTTAATTAAGTCAAATAAAATCCAAGCGGAAGACTCCCCAGCCTTGTCTGGAGCATACTTTTTGGGTTGAATACCTATAATTTTAGAAATGTTAATAAAACACAGTCCACTTTTTCCCTGTAATAATATAAATTAAATTAATATTTGATGTCTGTAAGAAGAAGGATAAAAGCAATGAGGTTGTATTTTCTGGCTTACAAATGGCACAGTGTGCAGAATACAGCAACTATGGCATTGATTTAAACATCCTTGCAAAGACACCATGCAATAAAGTTGAATCATCTGCAGTACAGGTACGGCTGTTTGGGGGAAAAATAGCCAAATGAGAGAGTAGACATTTTCCTGTATTATCAAAAGCCACTTCATTTGGGGAAATTTCCTCAGATTTAGTAACATTTGGATGGAAATCAAATAACACATTAACTTCAGGAAAGGGGAAAAAAAAAACCTTCCAAAGCTAATTACAAAGGGAATGTGCACTTCATTAAGATAAAGCTGTAGGAAATCAATGTTCTGTATTGTTGTTTTTTCCTTTTGATTGGATTTTAGCATGATAAATTGTTAATGCATTTGATCTAAAAATGATTTGTTTATTCAGATGAAGAGCAACAGTACTTTGTCTCATTTGGCCTTTTAGCTTGTAATGATAATGGCTTCAAGAGATGTTCATTTCTCAAAAGGGTATCGGACTGGAATAGGCAGGAGATTTCTGGACTCAGAAGGATGGGCCCTATGCAAGGGTTCCTTGTAGGCTAATTCTATTGCATGTCGAATCTTCTGCTTCATTAGGAATATCGACAAATGCTGATAAATTCTTTGGCTTTTCTGTGCTGTCTATATAAAATGTCTTTATTAGAATATTGAGGCTAAAGTGGAAAGGTCTTCAATATATCAGGCCCTTTTATGTTGCCTACTCCTGATCCCACTTGCCGGGGCAGTGGTTTGCTAATGCAGGGGTTTTGTCCTTTCTCAGGACTGTAATCACTGTCAGCAAAGCTGGCACCTTGGCCAAAGCAAAACAGGGGCACTATGCAGGGGCTGACAGAGACAGAAGAGAGACAATCAGGTTCATTTTGTTATTTTGGCTTGGATTTGCCTCTGAGGCACGTTCCCATGTCTCCCCACTGCCGTCCTGCACTGAGCTGGGGCTGTTCCCAGCTGGGGCTGTGCTGGTCCTGCAGGCAGGGCTTGGAGAAGGGTCCTGATGAGGGTGGCATCAGCATCTGGTCCTGGTCCTGGGGACAGAGCAGCCAGAAAAGACCTTTTCAGTGTGATACCTAAATCCAAGCATTGCCAGGCTGGATGCGGATGACCTTCAGACAGCAAACCTAAATTTGGCGGTGCTTGAACTTGGGACATGGCCTCAGTGGAAAGGGAGACTGACTCCAAAACCCTGCCTGGCTGTGTCAGGGGTGAACACAGCTTTGTGGGAGAGATGAGCAGCTTCTGCACGGCTCAGACCTTTGAACACCCCCAGCAAAGCCCCTGCAATTCATGCTGGCCATGCCCAGGCTGGTCCGCACGGAGGCTGCAGCCCTCAGCAGCTGATGGTGTAGGATGCTCTTCCTCAGTTGCTGGGAATGCCTCACCACCAGAGACATCATTAGTTGTGATTAATGGCGTACAGAAGAGAAAAACTAATTTTCTAAAAAGGAAAACCTCACCCATAACTCACTGCGGAGAATTCAAACAAAACATTACAGAATGCCCACGTGTGCTCACAGTGATTATAGATGTGTTATGGGGCACTCACTCCCTGAAGCAAAGCCAGGGGAGTGGGGCAGCACCCATCTCTGGCAGAAGATACTCACTCTAACCCCCTCACTGCCCCAAAAAAATGATGGGACAGGGACAAAGCAAGGACATTTGGAGAGCCGAGCATGCTTCAGGTGTGCAATGCTGATGCTTGGGCAGCCCACTAACCCAAAATCTATGTGCTGGTCAGGGTTTAGCTTGCAGGCTCAATGCAGCATTGGTCATCAATGGCACTTCCACCTTCCCCCAATCACCGGCAAATAATTACTTTCCTCTGCCTCCTATAACTCACCAAAGGACGAATTTAATACTTCCAGGTCTTCACTGTCTAAGTTTCCATTTAGTTCCTTGGCTTGATTGTCTCCTGAAAAGGTACCTAGAGATAACTCGACTAAATTAATTGTAGAGCTCTTTTAAAAAAGCTGTTCTCTCTCTCTTTCTCTCTGTCTCTCTCTCCATTTATTTATAGGCAGCTTAGAGTAACGGGGCTGGGCAGTTAAGTGATCCGCAGTACTTACTGCTACAATGCAAAGCCCACGTTTCTTGGGGAGTAATAATGCTGGCCCACTTGCAATATTTCTGCTTGCAGTGGTTTGCAGTGCAGGTGCCTTTTCCCAGTGTCATCTTGCAGTGTGGTGGGCTGTGAGAAAGAGGGGGGAAAAGTCACCTTTGCCTCGTGACGCATATAAATTCTTTAAATAGGTTATGCACATGGCAACATGCAGTAGCTGTGCGTGGCGCTGGGTGAAGAAGGAAAGGCCTGAATTTATTGGCTCCTGCTGCAGAAATGATCAGAGCTGCTGCGATTTTAAAATGTGATTTCCCAAGTTGTTTGGAGCAGTGGGGTGCTCATGCGGCTGGGTTCACAACCAGAGCCATTGCTTGAGTACCGCAGGCTGAGATGCAGCAGGGTCACCCCATTTCCTCCTCCATCCCATCCCTTCCTGTTGGTTGCTGCTGGTGGCACAGCCTTTGCTTGTCTCAAGCAGATCTTAAAGCCACAGAAAACATTGATTTTTAAGGGCACATGAGAAAATACTAGGGGCTGCAGGGCAAGGAGACTAACCTGAGCCTCTCCACTGTGGTGGCTCTGCCATAGCAGGGGATGCTCTGTGCTGGACCTGCTGCTGCTGGCACGTGCCTCTTGAGTCACTCAAACACAGGGCACAGAGGAGGACAGCAGATGCTAAAGCTCTGAAAGCAGAGAAACGGGAAGTGACAATTAAAGTACCTGGATTAAAACAGTAGACTTTACTTACATCGTGATGTGGTAGCAATGCGGCTTCAAAACAGAGCCAAATACTGGCGTTAAAAATGCTACAGGCTGGTGGTCACTGCTGCAGGCTATTCGAGCGCTATTAAAACTGCCTCTTTAATTCAGACCGGCTCTTCATCCATAGCTGCTAAGAAGCTTACATAAATCCTGATTGCCTGAAAGTGAAGCCATTTGAACCAGTGCAGCATCAGGCAGCGAGTTCAGAAGAGGTCCCGGCGGCTGTGAAGGAAAAGACCCCAAGGAGTTCCCCTCTTTGCTTTGCAGACCGTGAGGCCAAATGCTTTGCTAAAGCTGGTAAAATGGAACCAAATCAACTGTTCAATGGATTTGGTCCCCTTCAACCAGCTGTAGCTGTGCATTGATCTCTCAGACTCACCTCGGAGGTTGGACCGGACCGAGACAAATCAGGTAGCAGAAGACAGATGGGCACACGAGTGCTGCCGATAAGGAGATGATGATGATGACTGGTATCTGCAGATCTATCACCCGGGCTCTAAACTGGTGGGATGAGCCTGAGTCATTATGTGGTTGCCAGTCAATCCTGCGTAACGGAGACCTCTCAAGATTGATAATCTCTATCGTCCTCCTCTATTGATCCCCGCTGTGATTCAGGTCTGTGTATTTCAACTGCAAACGCTGTGCGTTTTCACGTGTATTCACTCATGCCCTCCTGGGAGCACCGTGCCTCGATGTTTCATCTACTGCAATGAAGAATAAACATTTTGGTCTGAAGTTCCCTCCTTGTGTTTTGTTCCATGCGCTGTCCTGCTCATTTCGTAGGCTCAAGAGAAGAAATGGGAGTAATGTGGCTGCCCCAGCAGGGGATGGGTTGGGAACACCAGCTGCTTCCCAGTTGCCCCAGACCACAACTATCCACAGCCTGTGCTCTGCTTAGAGGTTCAGGAGATAACCACTTTATTCCAGAAAGGGTTTCCAGTATGATTTTGTTGGCTTTATGCTCCTAAAGAACTCTGAGGGTCTGCGTTCTGCTCCTTATAAACACTAATGTCATGCTAATGGACTTAAAGAAAATCACTCGCTTTCCCGTGTAATAATGATTGGTGGGAAAGTAAGCTGGGCATCATCTTTTCCTAAGTATTGTAAATCTATAGGACTATCACGAGCTATGAATATTGCTGGTGTAATGAGCCATTTGGATGCAAAAGTCTGATGAGAGTTGGTTCATGTCTTTACACCTGGCTTAAGGTAACCCCTGGCGTTAAGGAAAGCAGAGATTTGTCTCCCTGCACACCTGGGAAATTTGGGTCACTTCACTCCAGGTCCCTGGTCCTTTAGGTACTGTTTATATGTTCTTATTAGGACCAAGAGTATTCAAGTGTTTTAAAATAAGGAGCTATTGGCTTAATGTACGTCTAATATTTATGTCACTGGGTGTTAAAGGCAAAGACATCTCAGAAGCATCAAGTAAAAGCATCACGGGAAGCAGCAAGGAGCATGTGAGCAGCAGCGGCTGAGCAAATGTCACCCTAATGCTGTCAAACCCAAGATCCATACCCAAGGAAAGATGGGGATGAAAGCATGAGGGAAAAGAAACCCACAGCACAAGTCCCTTGTTGCTGTCAGTCTGGGTTGTGAGTGATATCAGGACTCCAGAGGAAGAGGTTGGGTAGAAACAGATGTTTCCAGCAGGCTGGGGCCTGGGTTTCCACAATACCACGCTCCTCCCTCCTGCTCCTGCAGCCTGGGTTATTCTCCCTCGTTCCCCAGGGCTGCATCCATTGTAAACAACACTGTTATTAAAATTCCTCCTCGGTAATGATAATTAAGTTACTAAAAGTTGTCAAATGGGGAAGCTGGAGGCACTGCAATTGGAACAAAACCTCGGAATGTAAATGAAAATGTTTTCTCCTGCAAGAAGCGTGGGTGGATAAGGGCCCACCTGCTGCAGTGGCTTGGGGTGATTTGTCTTCCTAACGGGGCTGCCAGGCTCTGGCTGTCGGCACCTACACAGATCCCAGACACATGTGTTCCTCTACCGGCAACCCTGAAAGCATTTGTTGCCCCCCAAATCCGTTCCCACTGGAAGAGTTCTGGATATGTGTGGGCACAGCAGCTCTCACAGGGTCACTTTATACAGGGACTACACAATATTTTATTATCCAGTGTGGTTTTCCTACAATGTTGTCACACTCCTGTGTCTAGACACACATGGCCACTCTACAAATCTGGGTGCCAAAACTTCACCTTGGGCCAGATTTAGGTATCCCCAGAGCCATCTGAGCCCTGAATAGTGGGAATCATCCAGCTCTCCTGAAGCCAGAGGAGAGATGACTATTGGGGGATTACAAAAGTCAGGCCGTGTATTCCTGAGGCTTAATGTGGGTCCCACCTTCAGGCACCCATGCTTGAAAATTTCTGCCAGTAATTTTATTGTTTAATTCTATCTTTATGAGATAGGGAATTCAATTCACTTAACAAGGAATTTCTATAACAATACAGACTATTATGGTCTAATCGAGGCAGTGCGAGGCCCAAGCAGAAGGCAGCTGGCAGGCTCTGGGGGAACTCTCCTGGGACTGCTAACATATAGGGACAAATCTAAGATCTGGGCCAAAAAAATTGCAGGTATCCCTCCCAACAGTCTGTCTTTCAGCTCAGCTCACTCCCCAATCCCTTCTGATGCTCTGTTTCAGAGCAAATGGAGCCAGCTCCCTTTCAGCCAGGAGCTGCCCAGGCCGTGGATCTGCCCACAGACTGAGAATTGGATCCTCTTCAAGTTGGTTTCCCATAAAGCACAGCTCTGAGCCAAAGTTTTACCACTGTCTTTGAAAAACCCCAGGATCAGGCCCTGGCTTAGTCACCATAAGCCATAGCCACTTAGAGGCTGCTCTGATGGCCCACCAGACCCTGCTGGTTTCCCTGAAAAAAAAGAAACCCTATTAGCTCCTCAAACAAGGCAATGCTGAGGACTCTGTCCTTCAAACATTTTGTGCAAATATGAAATAGCAGTGAATAATTAGCAGGAATAATCCTTTCTTCTTGACCTCTCCCGTAATAAAGACCTTTGTCAGCAGATGCAAATGTTATTTTGAGCAGCAATTCATAATCCAGACCTGCTAAACACATCGGGCTAAATACACCTGTACTTTAATATCCGTAGTGTTTGTACAGGACTTTTAAGTGAGATAAAACCAGACACCTTATATATCCCACAGATCTGAGAGCATTCAACAGTCAAATTGTAGGAAGAGAAGGTGGCAAAAGAGGCAGGTAAAGAAGGGAAGGAGAAAACTAAGATAGTAAAAACCAAAGTATGTAACCAAATTTATCTACTAATTTGGATTACTCTCCCTAGGGCTCTACACATGCATTGTGTGTGTTCTCCAAAAAAACCGTATAGTCCAATTAACACCAAGATGGCTAACAAAAATCATATTTGCTCTTCCCTAAATCTGTCATCCCCATGTTTTTCATTCCAAGAGAAAAATGGAAAGGTCTCTTCAGTTTGCTGAGCAGCCAGTGAGCTTTGGACTCTTTCAGCAAGAGGTCCAACCCCTCCTACTCTTCCTCTCTGATATCCCATTTAGCGATGTCCTCTCTGGAAACTCCCTCAAATAAGTTAGAGACTGTCCCTCTATTTTAGGCTTAGACCCACTTTTGCCCTTGATGATCTGCAAATGCATCTCTGGGTCCAGCAACCAGATTAGCTGGATTCTGTCCATGGAATTTTACTGTGCACTTCCTTTTCATTCCATTTTTTTTTCATTTTTTTTTTTTTCTTTTTTTTTTTTTTTTCGGAGAAAAAGAAAAAGAAAGGACAAGCAAACCAACAGGTAGATAATTGTTCTGTGCTGACAGTTTGTCAAACGAAGGAAGCGCATTTTTAGTCAAGATCTACTGTTACTGCAGCACTTGAGCAGAAGTCTCTTCCTTTACTCCCAGATGGCATTGACATATAGCCTGGAGGGGCTATCAGGATACAAAGCTAAAGATGGTTAAAGACATTAAAAACTGTACAATGTGAGCACCATCTACACCAGGACCATCATCCAGGAGGAAGATTCATCCTGACATATTGTGCAGAAAGCAAAGTGAGCTAAAGGTATTTTCAAGATGGACGAAATTTATATATATATACATTCCTACTCCTAACCATGCCTTTTCTAGTGGGTCTTTATTGGCTCTTTAAAAACAATGGCCAATATATGTAATGATCTGCCTTCCTCTTTCTTTCCGGGTGAATCATAGCTCCTACAGAGTGTTTATCACCGAGCGTAATGGCTGGCTTGATCCATTCGTGTCTGACTCCACTTCCCAGCAAGCTATTGAACGGCTCCTCTTCGTCGCAGGGCCGCCAGCATTTCCCAGGTCCTGCCAGGGCTCCTGTTAAGCTGTATAATAAATATTGCACTGAGAACAAGACTGCAACTGTTGACACAGGATGGAGGGAATTTGCTTTTCTGCATTTCTTGAGTTTGGTGCTGCCTAAGTTTCTGTAATGCACTCGCACAGAGAATGGACTTAATATTCTTGCACTTTTTAAATAAGATTCACAGTTTATACAGTGGGTGCAGCTGGAGGGAAAAAGAACTGCAAAGAGGGGACTTCACCTGCTGGAAAATATTCTTTACTTCCCCCAGAAGTGATGAAAATGTCAATACTATTGACACAATCACTAATTAAAACCGACTGCCATAATCATGCATATGATAGCCGTAGGACATCAGTTTGGATTAAGTGTAAGCAGCGAGCTGTGCTGCTCATGGTTTTCAAAAGCGTAAGGGGCTGGGTGATGGCATCTTCTGTACAGTCCAGCAGGAGCAGCAGAAGGATGCTCTCACACATGGGCTGCTCCTCTGCTGCCCAGCCCCACTGACCTGTGCAACTGCTTGTATGGTCTGAGCTCTGTGCAACCATCTTCCCATGGTGAGGAGCATGGCCCAGTGAGCCCCTAACCTGCAGGAAGGACAAAAACACGGACAGCCCTGGGGAGATTCGTCAGTTCCAAAAAAAAAAAAAAAAAAAAAGACAGGAAAATAATATACAAAACAAAACAAAATATAACCGTGTCATTTGTGGCATAGCCAGCACTTTCCAAGTCTAAGGATCCTGACCTCCAAACTATCATTGTAGAAGTCTATGATTTGTATCCATCTTCACTTTAAAGCATAGGATGAAGTGTAAAGCTGTCAATAGAAGAGAAAAAATATATATAATAAATAAATAAATAGATAAATAGATAAATAGATAAATAGATAAATAGATAAATAGATAAATAAATAAATAAATAAATAAATAAATAAAAGGGATTTTAAGAAAGCAAGGGATAGCCAGAAAATAGCTGTTAACTAACAGCCAGGCAGAGACTTAAACTTCCTAAACCTGGGAGAAAAAATTAAATCCGGATCCAGAGTTTCTGCATTGTGGCTCAGGTCCATGGCTGGCAATCATAGAGGATTTGTCTAGTAAATTCAGCTCAGCCTGACTTTGCAGATTCCCTGTGGGTAACTGCCCCCTTGATGCTGGCGGGAGCAGGGCTGCAGAAATGCCGGTGCTCACGGCTGAAGCCTCACCATCGATCTGCCAGCAGCATCACTGCAGCATTGCTCAAGGCTGCCCTGGGCTCGTCCAGGGCTCCAGCACCCTTAGGAGGGAGTTGGCAGGTGTCTGGCCCCTGGTTTAGGCAGAATTGGTCACCAGAGCTTTTCAGCTTGCAGCTGTGGTTGCTTTTTTTTGCTCTTCTGAATAGGCAGGGGGAGGCTGAAAATGCCCAGGGGGCTGCTGCTGGCATGGATGCTGATGGATGCGATCCCATCCTTTCCCTAGGACAACTTGGTCTCCTGGAGCTGAGCCTGCTGTGACGACCTGGCGTCATGCTGGGGATGTGCCTTTCCCTCTCACCTGATTTGGGAGTGCCGAAGGCTTCCCAGTAACACATTTTCTTCATTTTAAACCTTTGTTAAATCCAGCAAGCTCTTTGACATTGGAAACTTTTATGTGCTGTGTTAGTAGGTTTTCAAGCATGAACGAATTGATTCATGAGTGGATAAATCTGATGCATCTTTTAAATGGAAAACCGACGTAATTTTCCATCAGAGATCTGCTAATAAAGCACATTTACTTGGTTAATCCATTTTTTCCCCCTCTGTCCTAAGTGCACAACATAAGGTATAAAAATATCAAATCAATAGTCAAGGAGTATATACAAATGAGTGATCAGAAACCCTGCATGGGCCACCTTTTGGTTGGCTTCTTGTAGGACTCAGGTTTGTGTTCCTGCTGCCTGAAGCCTGCTCCCAAAATCGTCCTGAGGCTGCAGTGCTGCAGCTGTCCTTACAAGTCCCAGGGGACAGCGGGTGCAAAGCCACCTGCGCCTGGGTCCTCATGGCACCAGCACTCCTGCTTTTAGAAGTAACTATGGTAAAAGGTGTTGTTTTTTTTTTCCCCTTTATTCATTTATTACAATGATTATATTTATTATCGCAGAAGGAGCTGGGTAGCGGGAATGTGCATAAAAGACAAAGGCACCTTCCCGTTCAGCCTGCCAGGCAATCTGCACAAACTCCCCTTCTTACTCTTCTCTTGGAGTACGGCCGTGTTATTTCAAAGGAAATGCCTGCACAGCCTTGTCTCTGCAAACACCGCAGCCGTCGTTCGATCGGCGCAACTCTCTGGTGTGAGCTCATTTACCACGCGGTTGCTTCGCAGGCTGTGGAGAATTGCCTCGTACCTAATAATTCTGCTAATTTGCTTAACTTGCCCAGATTGCAAACTGCCTGGCCCTGAACAAGCAGCTTTCTAAATGAACCCCTAGACGATTTCTTGACAAGAGGGGATAGGAAAGGTGGCTGGTTGGGGAAGCTGAAGCTCACGGCCTTTTTATTTTTGACCTTTGGGCCAGCATTCAGATTTGCTTATTGGGAAAACTGCACTCAAAGTGTATTTTCTTCAGGGATTTGCAATACCCTTTTGCTTCTAATTATTCTCACTTGATGTCGTCCATAAATTAGTTAAAGATGCTTCTATTAGGGAGTTCCTGTCCTTTTAATTATCTTGCTAAAGCCTCCTTACTGTTGGCACCAGGACTGACAGCCCCAAAAAGCCGTGGGCTGGCAGCTGTGGGCAGCGAATTTGGGAGCGTACGTGGGTAATACAAAAGACTGAGCAGTCCGGGAAAGAAATGAAAACTGCAGCAAAGGTAAATGTCAGACTATTTAAAGACAATGTTGACTATTGATTTTTTAGAGGAGACTACCTCTTCAAAGGATGGCAAGCGTTCCTTCAGATACAGAGGAGGCAACTTAGACAGAGGGGAGAGAGAGGGCTGTGAGTGAGCAGGGAGGACGGAGATTTTCCCAGAGAGAAAAATGAAGCCTTTATGAAGCCTTTGGGATTAAAGACGTGGCTTAGTTCTTTCACAAAAATCCACCCTTCAACCCACTTAAGCACCGTGCCTTTCCCAAGAAACAAAGGGCAGAGAGGTGCTGGGAAGCACTGATGAGCAAAAAGGAGATAAGCAGCCGAGCACTTGTTTCACTGCAGGTTCCCATGTGAAAAATGAACCTCCAGGCACCCCCAGCGATTTGTTAAGTGGCAAAGCTCACCCAAGCTCCTGATTCTGCCTCCAGCAGAGATGCTCTTTGCTCACCGAAGCAGCTTGGGCTCGGTAAGCACTGTTCACTGCTCCCACCTGCACCTCCTGGCATGTGGAGCAAGACCAAAACCACTGCAGCTGCTGCTGCAGGCATCCCAAAGTGCATGGGACAGCTAGCAAGAAGCAAAAGCATCGCTTTTTCTGTACCTGCAGCTAGGAACTTGTGGGAAATTACCAGCAAATTGGCAATTTGGGGTCATCTTTTAGAATGACAGGATGGGCTTTACTTTCATATGTCCTAAGGGAAAATCAAGCCTTGAACAAAAGACGTGTTTGTTTTTTTTTAATTTTATTTTATTTTATTTAAAGGAAATACATATATATATATATATATATAAAACACACATTATATGTATATTAAAATCCAGCAAACAATTTTATTGGGAATCTTGAGTGACTGTGGAAATAACATTATCATCTTATGTTACACTGGTGTGTCTCTGAGCCCTGGCACATGCAAACTACCCAGCTCTGTAGTTGAATTTAAATGAAAAGCCTATTACTTGTAAATAAAGGGGGCTAGGCTGGTGCAGTAGGTTAAAGTGGAAGGCTTGATCTCTGTTGGAATTTAAAGATTGTAAAATGCCACTTTGAGGCATTATGCAGTTGTGCAGAAACACTTCTTCTGCAGTGCATCTACTCCTGAGAACAGATCTGGTCCTAAGAGCTATTACTACGTGTTTTTAAGGTGCAATCTGTCATCCTGTAAGCTTCCCCGCATGAAAAGCTTCAGGATCAGGTATTGAAAGGGCATCTGCAAGAGCTGCAAATAGCCTTAGGAGTGATCCTGGAACAGCCCTGCTCACGGCAGCAGCTGCTGGTGGGGCAACACCGACCTTGGTGGGCTTCGAAGGGGGCATACGAGAGGATCAGACCCTCGGCACCCTGCCCTTCCCCTCAAAAAGTGGTTTTGAGAGCTTTGATTTGAATATCATGATAGGATAGGACTTAAAAGCCCTTCTGGCAGCCAGCTCAACTTGCAGAAACCCCCAGTTCCTCACAGATCCCAAACACAGTGCAATGCGGTATGACTGCCTGGGGTAACTTTGGGTTTAGATGTATTATTTCAATAAGGAGGTCTTCAGACAGCGTTAAATGACAGATGATATAATTTCTGAATGTGGTGTTCATCTGAATTTTATTTTCTGATGTTTTGACTCATTGACTTGATGTCTCTCCATTATGCACACACCTCTGGAGATGTTGCTGGCAATGATTATGCGTAGCATCAAGTTAGTGAATAAAACCACTCCAGGAACTGCTTTACAGATCACAGTATCGTTTTCTCTGTAATTGTCCCACAAACGGTAGAAGTTATATGGAGGGAGCAGTGTTCTCTGACAGACTGCATATTTTTGCAGCACGCATCAGATCTCACTTTGGCTGCTGAGACTTATTTCTGATGGTTCTTGGGGATTTAACTTTAAGACCAATGTATTTTAGTATCCATATACACTCCACTCTTCATGTCATCCGGCAGCACCGGAGGATGAGCTGTCTCCTTAATATGGATGAGACACCAATTTATCTAAGTTATCGCCTCACAATCTCTCATTCATCTCTGCTGTTAAGTGCTGTGTTTCTGACACCCGTACCTAAACTATCAGCAACTTCTCCTTCAATTGAAACCATAAGTAATTTTTGGCTGGAAGTTCTTGTTATGTGTATAATGGCTTCTTCATCTCCCAGCTGGAATTTGATGATCAGGTGACTGAATCAGGCTCTGGACACCTATTATTAAACCCACAGCATCACACTGGCCCACTCAGCATGGTAAATCAAAAGTCAGGGCATCTTTCCACCACCTGAAAATATATGGCCAAATTAACACGTCCCAGGCTCACTTTGAACAGCACTGCAGCCCTGCGTGACGGCCCAGGCGTCTGGCTGCCAACTCAGCAAAACTTTCCCCCTTCCTGATGCACTCCCAAACCTGCAAAACTTAGCCCTACTCCTGATATTCTCTTTATAGAAGCTCCCGCTGGTATTATGTATCAAATAAACCTCTCATTATTTAGTTGCTGGTTCCTTCGTGCCGTTGCTCTCATTAATCATCCTGTTCTTCAAGCCCGTGCTACAAGCCGTTGGGACTGCCTCGGTGCACACCCCTCAATTAGAGGTTGTGTCCCCTGCCCCTCCAGGCTGGTGGTTTCCATCCCTCCACCCACCTTGGGGAGCTCATGGGGTCCAGCCCCACATTTCTGGGGGCCTTTTGGCTGGAGTCCCAGTGCCAAAAGCCATCTCCCTGACCTGGGAGCACCTGGGGATGCTCCTGCTGCAAAGGGCCCTGATTCGTGCCTGTGTTTAGAGATGCTCCAAGGAGGCAAAATGAAAAACTCTTTGGTTGTGCCCCAAATCTGTTCAATTCATCCCCAACATCCCTTCAAAAATTCTTCCCAACAATTGAGGATAGGGAATCTGCACCCTCTGCCTCCCTCCTGCTTGGCTTCACCTCCAGGATCCAGCACAGAGGGTGCCTGGGTGAGCCCCATGCCCTGAACCCTCCTCTGGCAGAACAACCCAGATCTTTTTTCCCTCCCTTCCTTGCACCATGAAGCAGCATTTTTCCCTGCAACACAGGACCTGGGGGGCTTGCCACTATCTCTAGGTAATATTTTTGGGAAGCACAAGTGTCTTACTTAAAGCTCTGGATCCTATTTCCCTTTGTGCTGAGGATGAAATGCAAAGAGACAGAAGAACAGAGGAGAGCAGACTCCCCTCAGCTGTAAGAATTCACCAAATCCAATGGTTTATTCATTTTAATTACCCTTGGAATTCATATGTATGCATATATATATGTACATGAATTCATATAATGACACATAATTAATTTAGAGTTTGGCATTTCAGAACAGGTAATTAAAATAGTTCATTGTTGATTAATCACTTGCAAAATAAATTATTAGCAATATCACTGTTAGCATTATGTTTATTACTACAATTTAGAGAAATTAAGGCAGTTCACTTACATTAAATTAAACATGAAAGCACAGATGTAATGTACCCTAGACAATATCTATTTACTCAGAGAACAAATGTGATGTGTGCATTACAGTACATTTGCTAGGTCATACATCTTGGATGGCCTCTTCATGTCACCACCAGAAACCTAATACCGACACACGGACAATTCCCGTCTCTTTCCGTAAATACAAAAATAGGCTCTGCTGGCCCTCAGCCCCTGCTTGGCACTGCAGCGTGCTCCAGGCAGCTCTGCGGGATCTGCGGGTGCTGCAGGATGCTCGGGTCTGCCTGGAGCAGGGAGAGGAGGCAGCCCAGGCATGGGGAGAAAGCGAGGACATGAGAGGCTGTGCCATATGCAAGCCCACAAAACCCACAAACGGCAAAGAAAAGCAAACTTTCCCATCCTCAGCATGCCCCCCAGCCACTCTTATGAGCCAGATTATGGCCAAACTGCACAGAAATTGAATAAATCTCAGCATGACTCACTGAGGTGCTAAAGGCTTAAGCAGATCGTTTAAGCATAAGTTGAATTTGATGCTTAACCATACCATTTAAGTTGAATTATTTTTAATCAGCTGTGCTCTCTGCTGGGGTGGAGAGAGACTTTGTCCTACGAGGAGATAAGCATCCCTTGCTTCTGACAAGTGTTTTGTCTGGAGGCCATTCCAAGAGGAGTCGAAGGGAGCAATGGGGAGAAGTCAGTAGAGATGAAGAGGATGCAGAGCTCCTCGTGACATCCTCTTTGGATCTGTCTCTCCGTGGCTTTATAGCTATGGGAAATAATCTATAATTAGGTGTATAAAACAGCTCTCTGATCTCTTTGCTTCTGGCCCAAAAGAGCACAAAATTGATAACTCAATTATCGCTGCTGGAAATACAAATAAATTAAAGGCACATGGTAGGAGGAACTCCAGTGGAGGGACACCCATGCCACACAAAGGCTGCTTTGGAATTGAGGGATTGCAAAGCTGCCAGGGGTCAGGATGGAGGGGACTGGGTGCTTTTCCCCCTCTCACCCCTCCAGTGGGGGCTGCTTGGGTCTGGTGGCCTCTGAGCTAAGGGCAGATTTGGCAAAAACACCTGGGGACAGCAACAGCACTGTCACAACTGGACCCAGGAGAAAAAAAAACAGGGTGAAAGCTTCCTGAAAGAGGCAACATCATCCTGGGAGAGAGCGGCTTCTCGAAAGGGTGCTGAGCTCAGCTTGGTTATGGGGGTGAGGAAGAGCAGGGCTGGGTTTAAACAGTTCTCCACAGAAGAAAATAATGAGTGCCTAATCCTTTCCCCAGCAAATTCCCAGGAGTTTTCATTCTGAATTTACAACCAGAGCAGTGTAGGATATCAGGGGTCTTCTTCATTTTCTGCCAAGTCATCTAGCATTTACACAAAACCCTCTCTCCGCTGAGGTTTGTTTTTAATGACTCCTGGGCTGAATTAACAGTCTGTGCCGGTGTGACAATGACAATAGTCGCTAATGACCACTCTGTTTGCCTAAGCCACATGCTGAGCACTGATTTCTGTCCCTGCCTCAGATTCTCTTTACAAAAGGGTTTCTGGCTCTTTCAAAGCAATTTAAAATGTGGAGGATGAACTGGCCTGTCCATCCCTTTGATATTCTGCTGCCTGGAAGTGTCCTGGGGCCTACAGGGAGCATCTGTAGCAAGGTGTGACCTGGAATGCTACCAAGAGCAGGAGAAAAGCCTCTGCATTTCATATCCCATTCGGCTGACCAACTCACTAACCAGGGAAATTATATTTAAACAACCTTTGATACAATCCCAACCAGATCAGAAGGGCAAGTGCAGTTTCATGGAAAATTCCATTTTTATGCTGCAGCACACTTTGGGATCCCACGGTGCAGACACGGGGTTTAGTGTAAAGTGGAACACAAAAGCACTCAGCTTCCCCAAAACCTTTGTGCCATTTCCAAAGCATCCCCCCAGCTTGTATTGAACAAGACATTTGCACCCATGGCATGGAGGAGGAAGGGAAACAGTGAGCTTTGTGCAGTGTCATCGCTTGGTTCAAATGATGCAAAGCCCAACCAGGACCACCAGCACCATGCAGGGGAGGAGGCATTGACTGGAGAAGGTGCCAGCACTGCTTACAGCACCTACCATTCCTCCCCTTTGCTCTGGCCATGCTGCTGGATCAAAAGAGATCAGCACAATAGCATTCACTTTATGGCCCTGATTTTTTTTTATTTAGGCAGCAGCATCGCCTGTGAAGAAGCCAGGTGCACGTCATCCTTCCTCCCTGCCCATTGCACGGGGCAGACATTCAAGCAATTCTATCCAAAAGCTTTTAGCTCCAGTAACTGATGATTTATATTTGTGCCATAATAGTCAGATATAGCAATAATAGGAAGGATTTAATTGTTTTAATGAAAGTAGCTTTTTCTGCATTTGAATCAATTTACTAAGTTTGGATGAGGGAATATAAGAATGGATTTAGCTGTGCTTTCCGTGTGCCCCTAACAAAAAAGCCCAAGCTATTTCAAAAAAGTCACTTGACATACTAAAACTCTTAATAACTAATATCTGCATAACTAAAGGCAATAGGAGCAGCCCAACCTGAAGAAAAAGGGTTTTGCAGGAATTAGTGTCTCGCTGTCACATTTGTAAAAGGGACAGATGCATTTTTCAGATCTTTGCACATTAATGGCTGTATTTGATTCAAAATACAGTCAGTGAACCCTCAGTAAATGGAATTAAATGGTATGTGTCTGATTTGAGGGTGACAATCCACCAATTGTTTCTTGTTTGAATTACTACCTGCGTGGCTGGGCACAGCAGTAATTGAAACTATAATGTTTCATTCCTCTTTAGCTATAATTTATCTGGAAAGTTCATTCACTGCTGTTCCGTTCTCCCTCCTGAAATCTCTCCCTTGATCGTTATCGTGCTGTCGGGCACTGCATCCTTCCAGCACACCCAGAGCCAGACCAGTTCAAGCAGAGGGATGCCCAGCGTTTGGCTGGACCTGCCCCAGGGGATTCGGTGTATTCAGTCCCAGGGCTCTGATTTCCCTTTGGCTGGGAGCTCGGGGGAGCCCATCCTCACAAGGCACCACATATTTCCCATCAATACCCCAAATATACGATGGCTTTGGGACCATCTTATGGACAGGCCAATATTCAGCAGCACCAGGTGCTGAACATTTTGGGTGGCCAGGACAATCAGCTGAATGGAGGAGTACCAGAGGTCGCTCTTTCTGCTGTTTGTGACTTTCTTTTCTACTTTGCCCACTTCTTGAATACTACACAGAGGTGGGCTGTGGCTGCCACAGTAGGATCAGTGCTGGGAATATGCAAGGGATAACAAATAGATTTCCTCTCTCCCGACGCTACCCATTTATGAGCAATTTCTAGTCTGTTTTCACCCAATATTGATAAACAGAAGAAAATGGAATGTATTTTATTCACCCATAAAGTCTGACATTTCCAAAGATGGAATCAAATTATCCTCCTCGTGTCTCTGCAGCTAGCTGGGCTGCTGGCTAGATACGCCTGTGCACTGCAGAGCAATGACACCGAACTTCTGAGGGTTCAGAATGAGCCAGTCTGAGACAAGCAGGGACATTTTCCTTACAAAAAACACAAATCACAAAATCCAGATTTTCTGTCACAGGATAGCAGCGCTTTGTTCTCCCACCCTGGGACCAGGAAAGCCTCGAACTCTCTGTCAGCAGCAGGGCTTGCTCTTCGCAGAGGTATTTCTACAGAAGCTTTTGCATCTTCTTCAGCTGGTACCACGGCTGGTGTTCTGGGGGTGATTCAAGTGATGAACTTTGGACTTTGGCCTCTTTTTGGGGGTGATTCAGATGGAAATCCTATGTGGCTCATGTTCAGGCTGTCTGGGAATGTGGCAGTGATGTGAGAAATTGCAGGCAGGGGTTTAAGCTCCCCTCTACCTGCAGGCACAGAGGGGTCTGGGTGGAGGCACAAAGAGGGAATCATAGGAAAGAGGACTGGGATTTAAAACAGATATAAAGCTGCTGGTTCCCAAAGAGCCCTGATGAGCCCAGGGAGTGTTCTTGTCAGATCAGAGCCCTGGGGCTGCTCCCCAGACACAAGACGTGCAGAGATGCTCACAGCAGGCACTCCTGGCACCGCTTTACCAACCTGCACTTCTGCTGGGGCGTCCTGGCACCTTGACAAGACATCCGCGCTCGAGACCAGGCTGAGCTAAGAGGATGGGTGGGGAATAGAAATGAGCAAGGACAGACCAGCATCTAAATGTGGAAGGAACGTGGCAGCCATGAAGAGAGCTGGGGAAGTGTGGGGATGCGGCGAGACGAAGCACATGGAGGACAGGTGCTGAGATGGGAACACATCACCCACAGGCAATTCTTTCCCTGGGCAATTTTCTGCATTTCTGTTCCAGCACTGGAAGGACCCCTGGGCCCTGCAGTGAAGGCAGAGCAGGGGAAGAAACTCTTCTCTCCTCTGCCCTCCCCTGTACCCAAAGGCTCCTGAGTTTCCCCTTCCAAAGCTGAAGATGTCACATCCACCAGCCCTGGCGTGGCTCTCAATGGCCTTGAATGCAGTAATTCATCCAGGTGCTCTGCTTTGATCCATGCGCTATTTATTTTCTCCACGTAAATCCTCAGCAACCAAAGCAATCCCAGCTGCCTCAGGTGGGGATTTCACCCTCACTGAGACCTCCAGGGTTGGTCTACACCATTGTCTGTCCCCTCCATCAAACTGCTGTGTGTACACATTGTCTGTGAGGGGCTGTGCTTTGGGGCTGGAGTCCCAGCCATTCTGATTTAAACCCGACCTTTTGAGGTTTACCTCTAAAATATTCTTTTTTTGCTCACCTCAGAGTGAAGGCTGAATAATTGGAGCAAGTGGCTGCATTTCTCAAAATAAAACCGGGATTTGTAAGTGCCAGAGGAGGTCCTGTGGTGCTGGAAGGGGAAGGTAATTGACATTCCCTTCGGGAGAACCTCTTTAAAAATTCGGGTCCTGGTTGCTCTGGATTTATTGTCAGTGGCACAATACAGGCAGAGAATACGATAATCCTCGCAAACAAACAAACAGTACATGCCAAATGCAACTAAAGCAGAAGTCCAGTTGTGCTGTGCATCCAATGGCAGAGAGGGGCTGGCCAGGGCCTGCCTGGTGTTCCAGCTCTTTCCTACCAGTGATGACGTTAGGGCATTGCAACATTGAAAAAAAAAAAAAAAAAAGGTCAATAAAATGCTTCTAAATGGGGCTGAAAGGTGTCATTGCTCCATCCCCAGGTGCCACAGGGCTCCCCAAGATGCTGCAGGGACGTCCCGTGGAGTGACTTGGCACTGACGGACTGCAGGCTCCCCTGGCTTGCCAAGATTTCCTGAGAAAAAAATGGAGAGAATTTGTGTGGCATCCCACACCCCACCGTGGTGAGAGGAGAGCCTGTCTGCTCCCCAGCCCACATGCCACAGATAAATAAATACCTGTGTATTTGATAGATGTTTATATATATGCACCCACACTGCTGCAAATATGGTTTGTGCGCACTAGGTGCACAGCACAGGCTGGATTAATCCTCACTTGGGTCACACCGGCTGTTGCAACAAAATGTGCATAAAATGACACTGTTAAGAGAAGAGTCTGCAGCAGCTTCTTGGCAGCTTCTGCATGAAGGGCAGCTTTGATATCCTTGCTCTTGAGGTATTTGCAAAAGGGAACAAATTGTTGTCCCTTCTCCAAGTCTCCCTCTTACACACTGCTTGGTCTTTCTGAGAAGGGCACTTGCTGCACGCATGTACCAGGGTTCCCAGCACCTGGCAAGCCAGCCCTCGTGTGCTAGGACAGTTCTGTCCCAGCTGGGTTGAAGCGAAGGCTTGCATATTGCTTGTTCACTTGGATTTGCACAAGCACTTGCGCTCATAAGGTCATAAACCTCCTGCAAAATGAGGATGCATCTCTCCTGTCTGGTGCCATGCACACCAAACCGATGCAAAATGAATAACTAAAAAAAACAAAAAAAGTTTTCAGATCCAAAGTACAGGAGAGCAGTTCTTCAGCTGCTCCTTTACTAGGGGCAGCATCTCTTCCTTGGCATCCTTTTGTAGGTGCTGCTGCAGCACTGGGCTGTGAGAGCCTTGGACTTTTGTCACGTCTTTACCACTCACTTCTGCTCAGGATCTGTCCTTTCCCATTAGGTGACCGTGCAGAACAATGTCCCCACACCTCCCCTCGCTGTACTTCTGTCTCCAAACTGCAGTTGGATGTCTCGGGCTCTAAGTGCCGACGGGAGCACAGCAGCTCTGGCGCACCTGAAAGCTGATTTCTCAGCGTCTGATTCAGGTCCTGTCTCCGGTGATGCCAGACTGGCTGCTGGACGGGAACACGGTGCTCAGCATGCTGCTGTGAAGGAGAAGAGCACTTGGGAACATCAGGTGCAGCGTGGGGCAGGGCTGACAGGCTTGGTTCCCTGGCTGCACCCACAGCAAGGTCCCTGCACCTCCTTCTGCTGCATTTCTAAATGCTTTGCAGACCCTGAGGCCATGAAGAACAAATAATCGCAGGTGCAGCAAGGTGCCTTGCCCCCAGATGGGGAGGGTGGGCAGCGGGGCTCTGCACAGGCAGCCCCAGGGAGCAGCAGCTGGACCCTGCTGCCTTCCCATCCCCTGGGGGTGATGCTCATGGAAACCCCAATGAGAGCAACCCTGCAGCTGGGCTGCAGCTGCCCACTGCATCTTTCCCAGCTCACCCATCCCTCCATCCTCCATCTGCAGCAGTGGCTCCGGGGGTGCTTTGGGAACGCACTGAAATGATTAGATTTCGAAACAGGCCAGCAGGCACTTAATTCCTGATTATCTACCAGCCACTTATCCCACGGAAAAGTGTCTGCAGGGAGCCAGGCGTGGGGCAGGGCGGCTCCGGCAGCACTTAGCTCGATCTGCCCTCCCAGCAAAGATTACCTGGAAACCTGGAAGCTGCAGGCACTGCTGGCTTCTGCCGCAGGCTGCGAGCAGAAAGCTCCGATTCGGAAATCAATGGCAGGGTCGTGCCACCGTGGCCACCGAGCTGGGCTACTGGCAGGATGCAAGCAGCCTGCGTGCCATCGGTGGTCTGGAAGAGCAAAGGCTTTGGCAAGGCAGCGGTGGGACGGAGCTGGCGGTGACTTTGTGCCCGATGTGGCCGCGCAGTCCCGCGGTGGCCTGGGCTGTGGCCACCACATGCTCAGCACATAATTCCTGACCCCGCGTCGCGGGGATAATTCTTGCTGTCACGGCTGACATTTAGCCGTACAGCGAGCCTTGCCAGGAAATTGCCATCATTTCAGCTCGGCTCCCAGCTCCCATTCTGATTTATATTTTTGTTTTTATCCAATTTTTCTGACTTGTTTTGGTAGGGTGGACAAAATGTTCTCGCTCAAGACAGATGACAGTTTGCCGATAAGAGGAGCAACTTATCACAAACAGCTCCGATTCCTTCTCAAATGCTTAGTCTGTTGGAACGGCTTTAAAGCCTAATGTGATATTGTAGGTTAGCCCCAAATCTGCTTTCCCTCTTGTATTTCATACTTTATGGCTCAGAGCATCAGTCCTTTTAAAACCAAACACTTCAATCTTTTTCAGATCATCCATGCTCCCTCCTTCCCAGCCCACCCCCCTCCAACAATTTAACTTTTTAAAATTTTCTTTTGGTATGGCAAGTAAAACAAACACTGTGGATGAGTGACCTCTTGGAAGCTTGGTGTCCTTGAGTCTAACTTTAGAAATCGTTTGTCACAGGCACAGAAATGTGCACTGCAATCAGAATTAGCTGCCAGATTTTTTTCAGACAATTCTATTGTAATTTGAGTGGCATTCCTGACAATAGTTCAGGTTCTCCAGCTTTTCCCCTATTCCCCAGCAAACCATGCACTGCAAAGGAAAACTTCTGTCCTATTCTGGTTTAAATATCCTTTTTTTTTTTTTTTAATTATTTTTTTTCTTTTAGTATATATCGAAGAGAAGAATAAATGAGAGGGAGAAGAGAGGCAAGGAAGCTGAACAGCTTTGAACTCTGCAGATGAGCCCAGCAGGTTAAGAGGGTATTAAATAGTTGGGTTTAGTTCAGCAGAAACAGGACATTTTACCAGAACTGGGTGAATAATTTGCAATTAGTAATTTGGGCCAGAAAAGCTCAGGCTATTCCATGCCCTCCATGTACATAGTTCCTTTCCGTGCATACACTTCTGGGAAAAGCCTCTGCATTTGTGGCATTTAATAAGAGCAGGAGAACGAGGCAGTGAGCTGAGCTGAGGGCTGCTCTGGTGCAAACCCTCGGTGCCTTGGGGGCCAGCTCTGCCGGGGGCTGGCAGTCCCTTCCGAAATCTCACATGGTCTGGACACATGCTCAGCCAACACGGTGCTTCCTTTACACGTGGCTATTACCTGGAAATAGGATGTGGTGTCTTGTAAGGGCACGATCCACCCGATTATTTTCTTTCCTTTGCATTTTTTAATTCTAAAATTTTCATTTTAATACCCCCGGTGGAATTAGGTCCCGTTTCAGCAAAGTGCTGAGGCTTTGAATACTGAAAACATGCCAGAAGTGCCACAATTTTAAACCCCATCCCACAGAAAGGACATTCATCACCTCCTGCACCTTCAGTGGAAGATGCAGTAATTTATTTAGGATCCAGAGCAGGATCCTAAATATCAGCCCAGCTCACAGCCAGGAGAGCAATGGACAACCTACATCACAGAGCTGGCCAGGGCTTGCCCATGGCTAAACTCTGTAACGGGAGGGAGCTGGACCACAATCTATGCACAGCAGAGACGGCAGGAGGTCTAGAGGACATCAGAGCACAGTGCAAACAACAGGAAAAAGCATTCCCTACCAAGATGTCCAGGCTAATCCCACCTCCTCCAGATTCCCCAGAGAAGCAGATGTTCTGCTGATGGCAGAGCAGGAGCTGTGCAGGCAGGGGACAGGTCCCGAGGGGGCCCTTCAGGGAATGAAGCAACCAGCGACCTAATTCCCAGCTCTCCTGCTCACAGAGGAGGCTGGATGGCTGACCACAGCGCAGAGAAGTGGGCGACCTGCTGGCTTTGTACTGTGTCTGTATCACATCCTGAATGCAGCTGCACATCTAAATGCACAACCCAGTGGGCTTTCCGAACCTTTGATCATTCCTAGCATTTTGTTTCCCTTTTATTATCCCAAATAATATGTAATATTTTAAGGCACGGCTCCCTTAGAAAAGGCAAAAGTGTATGACACACAAAAAAAAAAAAAAAAAAGCCTTTTGTGAGCCAGAATGGGCTGTGGGCTGGGCTGGAAAAGGAGATGTGGAGATGTCTCCCTTCTTCTGCCACCCCATGGCAGATGCTCACCTGCAGGCCCTTCAGTGAAAAGTGCTGCAAAGTTATCAAACGTCAGCAAAGTGTGCTGGTTTCAGTGCATTTTGTATATATATAAATCACAAAGGTCTCAGATCTCCTCTGCTCAGCCCAGGAGCTGCCTTGCCATTTAGTTCGATGGGGTTTTGGTCACTGCACAGCCTGGAGGGTCCTGGAAAAAGGAAGAGTTCTGGGGGTGGGCATGTACAGGGAGCCCCTGGGGACGTGCAAGGTGATGAGGAGTGGGAAAGCTCCCCTTCGCCTGGCTGCTGAGCACCAGAGTCCCTGCAAATGCAAAGATAAATCTCCAAACCAGCACCGAGAGACAGCCCTATCCCATAAAGCGCTGGCTGCTCTTAGGAACGGAATGGAGATTTCTCCCGCTAATTATAAAAATGCCAGGCAAAAACCTGCACAGTATGATTTCTTGCATTAAACAAATTTTATGGCGGAGAAGACTTTTAGCAGGCACTATTTGCAGAGCTGGCCTTTTGCCAGCTTGCTGTCATTAAATCTGCCGATCTTAAGTATCAGCTGCACTTATTCGAAGGGGCTATAAATAAAAGC